CATGATTTTGGGTTTGATAAACTCCCAAGGAGAGTCTGTGATTCCTTATTAGTGGAATCCATGACTGGTTGTACTGAGCCAGATTCATCAGTCAGAACCTCTTATTGCCTCTTGAATGGCAGCTGAGAATCAGCTATGTTCTCCTCTTTAGCCTCAGAGTTGGAGAAGTCTGGAACACTTCCAAATTGCTGGATGTTTTTATGATTCTCTGGATAATTTTGTACTGTGCACTTCTAATAACTAATGAGATCAATAGTGAAACTGCCCAAATGTGGCCATCCTATCCCCATCATGAAATTATGTCTTTCAATCAGTGCAACAGTGGAAGTTAAGAAATGAGTTTCCAGACTCCGTTATATCTTTGACTTTGCCATACTGGCAATCCCAGTTGAATAACTTTTTGAAATGAAACAAGCACCGAACTGTAGCATTTGTCCATTCATTCCCTTTAGTACCATGATTCATATGAAACGCTGATAACATTTAGTGGCAAAAAAAAAAAAAAAGCAACAATGTGAAAATGCAAAAGCGGAGCAATGTATTTCCATTAGGCTCTTATTTTCCTTATTCCTAAAGATTGGTTGTAAGATTGGCAGTCCTCAACTTAGAACCATTTGTTTAGTAATGGGTCAAAGCTACAATGGCACTGAAAAAAGTGACTTATTACCATTTTTCACATTTACAATCATTTGGAGCATTCCCTTGGTCACTGGATCAAAATTCGGATACTGGCAACTGGCATGCGTTTAGGATGGTTGCAGTGGTCTGGAGTCATATGATTTCACTTTACAACCTTGTGACAAGCAAAGTCAACGGGGAAGCAAGATTCACTTAATAACTGTAGTGATTCACTTAACAGCTATGGCAAGACAGGTCATAAAGTGGGGCAAAACCCATTTAGCAAACAAAATTTTTGGATCAATTGTGGTTGTAAGTCTAGACCAGGGGTAGGCAACATGGCTGGCTCAGGAATTCTGGGAGTTGAAGTCCACGAGTCATAAAAGAGCCAAGGTTGCCTACCCCTGGTCTAGGCTACCTGTATTAACATCACTTAACTGTATTTAGCCCAGAAACATCTTTGGTCTACGGGCCTCATGGAATTAAAACCTCTGGCCTGTTTTTGGGTATGCCTTGCCTTTTTCCCTCTTCTTAGTGAAATCTTGCCTGATGAATTTGAAAACTTGCTAGGTTTTTTTGGGGGGGGGGGTTTAGGGGGAAGGGAATGTCATTTTGGGTGTTCATCCCAAAGTGCATAGCTAAATGTCTATGGAGGTTCTCAGTCATCCAGGTATGGTTGTCCCAAAGGTGCTTTTTCTCAGGAGGCAATTGGACTTTCTTGTGTTTCTTTTGAAGACGTTTCGCTTCTCATCCGAGAAGCTTCTTCAGCTCTGACTAGATGGTAGGGAATGGAAGGATTTATATTGCTTGCAGACAGGTGATCAGCAGTTCTCTATAAAGGAATGCAAATGACCATCTGTCTGCAAGCAATATAAATCCTTCCACTCCCTACCATCCAATCGGAGCTGAAGAAGCTTCTTGGATGAGAAGCGAAACGTCTTCAAAAGAAACACGAGAAAGTCCAGCTGCCTCCTGAGAAAAAGCACTTTTGGGCCATTTTGGGTGGTATGTCACCCAGGGATGAGTTTTGGAGATTTTCTCTGCAAGGGGCGATACTCCTATGATAGAGCGGGGTGATTGTGGGTTTTTTTTTTCTTTTTTTGGTGTATTTCAAGTGGAAAGCTATATATTTTATAAAGCTTAGATGAAAAGTCTGGATGAAATAGATCATACAGCTATTCAAACACGATCCATTTTCTGCCATCTTCTCAGGGAAAAGCCATTTTTTCAACGGAGCGGAGCTAATAAATACTGTATACATGTAAAAAGCTGGCTCCCTGGCTTAGAGAGGAACAGTAAACTTCAATGCATATATATGAGAGTAAGCCAAGAAGTTCTTACTACTATCACATACCAAGAAAATTATGATAAAATGGCCTTATTTTCAAGTAAATAAATAAATAAAAAAGAAAAAGTGCACAAATGGGCGACTCTGAAAAATCTGGGAGATCTGAAATTCAGTCTCAAGGGACCATACTGGCATTGCAATCTTACATGTTATTGCATCTTGGACAAGGCTGGTGAGAGGGGCATGCTGAATGATACGAGGGACACTCTGATACTGCTATGAGAAAAGCTAGCCACTTCTGCTATATTCTAAACAGAGTGACTGGGGGGAAACTAGAAGTGGATTAAGACTTCAAAATTGGACTATTTGTAAAAACAAGTATATGTTTTTTTATGCTGATTTCCTAAAGTGACTGCAATCTTCTGATGGGAATGATATAGCCATCAAACTTACCAATTTTGAGGACTTCACAACTTGCTGTTATAAATATTATAAGAGGACATATTTTACTCATCACATTCATGAAAGGGAGACTGAGTTAATGTTTTTATTTTGTGGCTGTGCGCCTACACCATCCCTTCCCAACCTGCTGTCCTCTTAGCTGGGAGTGAGTGGATTTATAGTCACAACACATCTGGAGGAAATGCTGATGTATTCACTAGGATAGATCACATGGATATCCTTAAGCCTAAATAGATGGGATTTCTGAATTAACATGCTGCTTTTAAATTAACAACTTTTTTCACAAATTAAAGTTTATCTCAGAGATGGTGTCTCTCCAGGATAAGTCATCCACTGAAATGTGAACAGTTACAAAACAACCAAATTATGTTTCTTAATAATATTTAAAAATATTTACAGAAGATGATCAAAAACACAATGCTTTTCTGCTAATGGTAATTAGAATTTGTAATTTCATAAACACAGGGAAAATGATATATTTGCTCAAATAAAAATACATTGGAACAGCTGATGCTACAAAGTGCTCATGTGTTCAAAGAAAGTTCTAATATGATACTAGAAGTGCTTTTCCATTAACCCTTATCATCAGGAGGTGAAATTACACTCTGTAAACTGCATCAAGCAAATGACACTTTATCCAAGAATCAGAATATTAAAGCACAGATACATGTTTGGGGCATTTGAATCCAAGGGAGAGATGAAGACTGCATTCTGACACCGAATTGGTACCAGCATGATCTAAATTCGAAGGTTAAGCTTCAATATTAACAGGCACTTAAAAACAGAAATATGTATTTTAATAATCAGTCCCAAACAGTAATTTTTACCATTCCATAGTAATGAACTGTTTTGTTTTTCCGATTCATTATCTAAAACAAATGTCACTTTAGGCCACTGAAGGATACATGACATTTGGGGTATGTGTGGGCATATTTGGCATTATTAAAAAGCATGCTTGATAAGATTGAAAGGGGTGGAAGGATGACTATGTGAAACTGGTAATTGTGGAGATGCACGATTATGCTTCCACTGTTCTTTTCTCTCAGACGTGAGGAAGATAAAAGGCGTGGAGGGGGAAACACATTCAGAGAGGCAGGGAAGCAAGCAGCTGAAAAAAAGAATAAAGGTAGAGGGACTAGTACTGTATGTACATATGAAAGCAGTAACAATAATGATAGAGAAGCGACAAAGAGAGGTAGGCAAATGTAACTTTTCCTTCCATGCAGATAATTAGAGAAAATAGTTCTACTGATATAAAAAGGAGGGGAAAACTTCCAAACACAGTTACCATAGAAGGTTATGGAAACCTACCTGTTCCACTCCCTCCAGGCATTCTATGTTGGGACTGAGTTACTGCTCTTCTCTACTCTATTCGTAGAAAAAAAAATCTGTGATACAATTTCATCTATTAACTTGGACAGCATAGCTCAGTGGTGGCGAACCTATGGCATGCGTGCCAGAGGTGGCACTCAGAGCCCTCTCTGTGGGCACACGTGCTGTCTTCCCAGCCCCACCTTCCCCCGCAGCCCCCTACTCACCAGCAGCCCCCCCAGAGGAGAGTCGCCCCCGAGCACGGCCCACGCGGAGCAGCGCAGCCAAGCACATGGAGCCGGGCAGCTGGGATGACTCCGTCCTCACACTCCATTGCTGCAGGGTGTGGGCGGAGGGCATGGCCGCCATGGCGCTGCTGGGCCGCCTGGGCGATCTGCAGCGGGTTGTGGAGGCAGTGAGTAGGCCTGTGGGTGGGCAGGGCGGGGACGGAGCAGGCTGGGGAAGGGGGCAGAGTGGGCGGGATGGGGCGGAGTGGGGCGGGGGTGGTTTTTGGGCACTCGGACTCTAAAAGGTTCACTATCACTGGTATAGCTCCTTTTAAAATAAGTAGGAAGGGCATGGCAGGTTTAATATTTAATCAAGAACCCAACTACCTCAATATGCAGATGGTGCTTTCAATTGAGTTTGGGTAAGATAGGGCAACATTTTTTTAAAAAAAATAATCTTAAATGAAAATCTATCAATTTATTCCACAGTTATGTACTGGGAGGGGAAAAAAACCCCATCACTGCTGAAAATCAACTGCAGATAAAACCCACTTCTTACAAGAACCTCTGACACATTCAAGGATGAATTTCTATCTTGTCCTACCCACCAGTTTTTCTACCCTGATGGATAGAAATTATCTCACTGGTGTCCCCTGTGCAGTAATGGGGAAAGCCAACCCAGGCCTACTACGTAAGAGGTTATCAAAACCATTTGTTGCTATATTAATACAAAATCCAGAAGAGCAGCAATCCCTAAGTTGGTGTTGGACCTCCATTTTCATGATTTTCCATCTTTGGCAATGCTGACTAAATAGTATAGAAGTAGTATAGAAAACAACATATCAGAAATAGAAAAGATTTTCTCAGCACCATACTTGCAAGAGAAGAGGCTGGGCCCTTGGCTCTCTGCCAAACAAGGAATCAATAGACACAGACAGCCTCTGTACTAGTCAAGGATACCAAAATATACTGCATGAAATTTCAGAGATTTCTTAAGAAAAGAATAGAAATATATTCCATTCAACAAAGTCTTCTTAATTTTAAAAACATATTACTTGTAGCACTCCAACCATTCATTTTTTTAATTTATTTTTTGTTATCAAAGACAATGTCCAGAAACAGTACTAAAGAATCAGCTCATGGCATAATTTTACAAAAATTTCTACCAGACAATTGTTGTATAGTTGGATGTATTTTTTTAATTAATGATGAGGTGAATTAAATCAATGAAATTGCTAACAAAAATCCTGTAAAGAAATATCTGTTCTGGTTATTTAAATCTGTTGGTTGGAGCACATTGAGTGGACATAACAACATCAGTGAAAGGCAGGCATAAGTCTTGCCCATCAGGAGAACGAGACATGGCTCTTCTAAAATGTCACTGATCTTTCAAAAAGAGGCACCATATTTTATATTCTGCACATACAAAATATGCTCATGTCACTTAAATTACATAATGCAGCAATGTTAAGTCTTATAGTTTATTAATGGCAAAGAACTGAGCCCAGAATTCATATATGATCCATGAGAGGGACATATTCCCAAAAAGACAAAGAGTATAAAACAATAGTTCCTGTTGAATGTGTATCAGTGTGCATGTGTGCAGTGTGCATATAACAAAGTTCAAACAGTGCCCTATCAAATTGTTCCACGCTGTGCATCCAGTCTGAACAGTAAAAGGCTTTCATTTTAACCATATGTTAAAATGCAAATTCACATCCTACAAAAGTCAACAATATGGTTGGTTGTAATAGTTCAAAGTAAAAGTTGCTATGAATTATTTTGCTTGCCTTTATTTGTCAGCCTCTTCATATATGGGATACTTGACTGTCTCAATTTTCTCTTTTACTTTATAGGAAGGGTATAAACCTGTTCTCCCTAATTTTCTATTGATGCCTTTGGAATAGCCATCCCAGTGGTTTCCAGCAACACCAATTATATCTCCAGGTTCCATAGGAATTTCATCAGCAGTTTGAGGATGATGAGCATAAATTGCAATCTGGTTGTGGGCATTCTGTCCCCCAAAATAATAAATATCATCCAAAGAATGAAAATAGGCCGATGCATCGGGATGTAATGTCTGCATGATTTCATAAGCCACTCGACAAACCTAGAAAAATAAAGAGACTATATTAACAGGTTTGTATTATTATTTAGAATCTGCCCATTGATTAATCGTATCTAAAAGAAACGTGTATTATTAGACTTTTCTTCTATTTATTCTTAACATATATTCAATAATGTAATGGAATGCAACTCTCCTTACTTTTTTACAGGTAGTCCTCGACTTGCAACTGTTTATTTAGTGACCATTTGAAGTTATAATGGCACTAAAAAAAAGCGACTTATGACCATTTCGCTTATGACTATTGCAGCCTCCCCACGGGCTGGTAAACATTTGGACACTTGGCAACTGGCATGTATTTATGACAGTTGCTGTATCCTGGGGTCATGTCATTGCCTTTTGCAACCTTATGACAAGCAAATGTCAATGAGGAAGTCAAATTCACTTAACAACCATGTTACTAACTTAACAACTGCAATGATTCACTTAACAACTGTGGCAAGAAAGATGGGGCAAAAGTCACTTAACACCTGTATTGATTAGCAATGGAAATTTTGGGCTCAATTACTGTATGGTCGAGGACTATCTTGTACTATATTTCATAATGTACAAAATCTAAACAATTCCAATCCTGAAACTGTCATCTAATGTGTCTTCTCTATCAACTACTATTTTAGGAGGTATTGTTTGACTGTTTTCAAACCATTCTACTTGTTTTAATTATTTGGGGGTCTGCAAAATATGAATGCACAAAATAGAAAGCATCACTATCACGATTTTTTATTGAAAGTGTGCCTTGTCATAATTCACCTCTAATTTATTAAGAATGGATGTTTTCCCTTAAATATGTAATGATTACATTTTCAGTGATGACTTAAGTCACAGTGCTCTACACTTTATAGGCTACAAGGCTGATATAGCTCCCTTCTGATTTTTTTTTATAATCCTTCAAAACCTTGCTACAACAAAATTAGCACATATCCTTTACTAAACTATTCAGAGCATTAGTGGAGCCTACAGAATCTTTATCATATAGTTCTATTGGATCAAGTCCAGTTTTTGAGTGGACTTTCGTCAATTCCTCAGAATTGACTCAAGGGACCTAGACCTCTGCTCCTTGTACGTGAGATGTTGCATGACAGGCATATTTTTCAGTAACTCCAGGATAACTGCCAGGATGACGTGCAAAACAAATGGTTCTATAGCTTCCCCTTGAATATACTCTATAAAGGGGAGTCCATTATTTCTCAGCATAACTGCTGGCTCCTCTGATGAGCTATTGTATAAGGAAACTTTTTTTTAACATTTAGTTGAATTTAGTTTTAACATTTAGTTGAATTATTCTGTCTTGCACTCTGAAATGAGAGAAAACATGTCTTGACATCCTATGTAACTTTTTTTTCAGATATTTGAAGGGTTCTCTCATATTACATCAACACCTGACCTCAATGGTGTTTTCTTGTGACTTCAATCTTTCTTCATAGGGCTGAGTTCCAATTTCTCCTAATCCCTTTTAAAATAATATTATCTCATTTGTGGTGATTGGGAGGAAAAAAAAGACTATTCTTACTACAGCATTTTACAACCTTTCTTGCCACAATTGTTAAGTGAATCACTGCAGTTGTTAAGTTAGTAACACAATTGTTAAGTGAATCTGGTTTTCCCATTGACTTTACTTGTCAGAAGATCGCAAAGGTGATCACATGACCCTGGGACACTGCAACCCTTATAAATATGAACAAGTTGCCAAGCATCTGAATTTTGATCAAGTGACTATAGAGATATTGTAACAGTTGTAAATGTGAAAAATGGTCATAAGTCATTTTTTTCAGTACCATTGTAACTTTGAACGGTCACTAAATAAACTATTGTAAGTTGAGGACCACCTGTACTGGCAGGGAAAGTGTAGGAATTGAAGTTCATATCTCCAAGTTGGTTGAGGTTGAGAAACACTGCTCTACATAAAAATTCCTCTCTTCCCTAACTCTGCTTCGAAGTAAAGTTTGTAATGGATTCTAATGAGGTAATTTTCTCTGCCCTGCTTAAATAACAGCTCTGGAGGTTTATCCTTCAGGATCATGGGAAAGAGAAAACAGGTTAAAATTCTTCTGATTGCTATCATCTTTATTGAACCCTGCACCTACTTTATTTTAATTATGCCTAAGATGACTTTAATTTACACTGTACCACAACAAACAAATGAAAACAACAGAAAGTAAATTGGCTATTTTTGAGCAGATCCAAACTGTATTGTTTTTTCTGATACCATGTTAAAGTACAGAGCAAGTTTGATCTACTGGTTAAGGCCACATATCAGGCCTTGGGAGACCATTAGTTCTAGTCCTGCCTTAAATACAAAGTCAGCTGGGGGACCTTGGACTAGTCATTCTCTCTCAAGCCCAGGAAAGAGACAATGGCAAACCACTTCCAAAAAACCTTGTCAAGAAAACTGCAAGGACTGGACCAGGCAGTCACCTGGGGTCAAAAAGCTAACTCAAAGGCACTAACACATACATGCGTGATTATGATGGAATTTTAAGGCTGGATCCAAAGCAGAGGAAGAGAGCTGATCACGCAATAGAGCTTTTCTCACTTTTTCCCCTAACTGTGCTTGTTTTGCTCCTGACCTTGAGGATCAATGCATTCTCTGCTAAGATGTAGCACTAATGTGTTTCCAGTATTTCTAATAGCTTATTTAAGCACACTTTCCAGAAATAGTGCAAAACAACAACCCCATGTGTTATGTCTTCTTGAGTGAAACTACTAAGGTTTTAAAAAGCATGAAAAAAGAATCAAGAAATGCATTATTTATGCAGAAGTTAACGGATATTGTGTCAGAGACCATGATCGATGGGGAACCATGATAGATGCTATTAAGGAAGTTTTGAATCTATTATATTACAATTGTTACAATGAAGCATCTGTCATTGAGCATACAGAAAGGTGTGTGATTTCGGACATCAAATATGTATTCTAACTTTGTTGAAAGAAAAACTGGAAATCTGGCTACAATTCAAGCCTCATCCAACGGCAGACTAAGACAGGAAGAAAACCCAAAACATAGTGAAGCTAAGAAGCCAGGAGCTGAAAGACAAAAAGCCTGAAAGAAAGACAGAATTGAACCAAGAGCTTTCAGTCCTCCCCAGCACACAAGATATAAAACCTGCTATCAACTATTTCGGCAATAATACCTCTGTGATGTTCACAGTGAAGTATTATTTTTAAAAGATAAAATGTTGAAATAATCCGTTTATAATCAATGGGTAACTTAACTGAAATTTGATAAATTAAAAAAAAAACCTGGCATTTCAAAACAGATATATATTGTCCTATAGACACAAATCATTAGTTGGTATGATGCCTATGCTTCAGAATGTATTGCTTTTAAGAACAAAATCAATGAATTGTTTGGTAATACAGTCCAATTTTATTTAGTGTACTTAGAGATATCCAGGACTAGTGATCACAATGTTCCTAGCAAATCATCCATAGTATTCAATAAAGGAAACGCTTCTATGTTGTTATCATGTGCAGTTGGGTAATACACTTTTAAGAGGCAGATAATCCATTAATTAAAATCTTGCCTTTAGTACTTCAGTTTCAAAAGCAAAAAGTGCTTCACAATTCAAATGTAACACCTGACTGCAGCTCCCTTTACCAGATTCATGAAACTGAGCTCTGAAGCTGCTGTGCAATTTCAGGGAAATATATATTTGGTTATAAGAAACTGGTAGTACATTCGTGGTCTGAAGCATATTTTTGCCCTTGATTCTGAAACATCAATGTGATAATATATAAAGTCCTCTAAACTGGCAGCCATTACTAATAGTTAAAATAGTAGCCATTTTGCAGCAATACTGCAGATATAAGATTCATTAAGAAATATTTCATTTTGTTTGTTTGTCCCAAACTACAGCAAAATAATAGTTTTTTACTAATGCTAAAAAATTGAAATTCTGCTTATTCTTTCCAATTTCCATGATTATTCGGAAAAAGAACCCTTCAACTGTTTTATATTTATTTGCAAAGGATATGTTTTCTTGTTAATTTCTACACTGAATTTTTAAAATACCGATTTATTGGTAATTCTATTATGTTATTATTATTGATTGTTAATTTAAAACTATCTTTTATTTTATATGTGTGTGCTTATGGATTTTTAATTTGCCTCAAGTTTTGCAACAGGAATTAGCTTACCTGTGAAGAAAAAGTGCACACAAGGAAGTCTGCCTGAGACAAGAAGTGTATATCCAAAATAACACCCCGCAGAGAGTTTTCAGTGTATCGATTATGAAGACCCGCTGACCATGATATGGAATTGTCACTTATGAATTCATAGTTTGGATATCTGAAAAAAATGCATCACAGCATCAAGCTTTTGTTTTCTTTAGGGAAGAGTGTAGTATCTTTGCACAATTTATTAAGTAAGACTGAATTCTGGTGTCTTGTTCTGAACTGACACTTAAGAATAGTAAGGAAGACCACTTAATTTATTGGTACAAATTTTACTAACAAATGGAAAATTGACTGTATTTCGTAAGAAATAAAAACTACTTGTATCTGAAGCTTTTTATACCATCAATCTTGGCAGCCTTTTATACAATCAATCATGGTACCTTTCTGCTGAAAGAGATAACTAAAGCTGTATACCATTAATATGCATATTAAATGCTACTTGTCATTTACCAGCAAGGAAACAATCAGTACAATAACATGGATGGGAGAAAAAAGCTGAAATTAAATCAAGACATGGAGAAGCATTTGGTCAACAGGAAACTGGACTCAGGCACTGCAACTGAGTATGTTCTTTACAAGTTTGCCCTTCTTCCATAAGGGCACTGGGAAGAAAGGAGACTTCTAAGGTTGAAAACTATGCTATACGAAAGAATTCAAATAATGCAAAGATGAATCAGCAAGAAATTTAGAAATGTTTGAATTTACTTCACTATCAGATAGGTTGGTCAGATATTTTAATTAGTAATTAATGTTATTTTCACAGCTGCTTGGCTAGAGCTTTTCTCCTGCTCTTAGTGCACTGGATCCTACCTTTTTACTATCACACCTCTCTTTTTACTATCACACCTCTCTTTACTATCACACCTCTCTTTAATGTATATACCATGTTTTCCCCAAAATAAGACCCGGTCTTATATTTTTTTTTTGCCTTCAAAAGAGGCACCAGGTCTTATTTTCAGGGAATGTCTTACCTGCTTACCTTAGGCCTGCCGCAGTCAGGCCTCCCACGCCCCGACACCTGTTGCGCCACTGCCCAAGTTCTTCTGCGGCTGTTTACAGCCACACACCACGTGGCGCATATCGCCGGTGCACTGCACAGCCCCCTTGGACAGCAGCAAAACAGATGTCGGGGCATGGGAGGCCTGGCTGCAGCAGTCCTAAGTTAAGCGGGTGCGGGGCATGTGGGGCAGCTCCATCCCCCACCCCCGCTCTAGCTTGATTTTTACATATGCTCCTCACCCCAAAACTAGGGCTTATATTAAGCACATACGTAAAAATCAAGCTAGGTCTTATTTTTGGGATAGGTCTTGTTTTTAGGGAAACCCAATACCTCCCCTAAAAATCCAAGCACAAAAATGAACACAAATGAATAATGAAAACATGCAATGAAGGTGGATTTATTGTCACAGTTTAATGAAAAGGTTCTTCACAGCTCTACTGGAGTCTGTTTACACCTACCCAAGGGAGGTACACCTCACAGTTTGGAATATCCTGTTCTAGGGAGTGGTGATATCTTTACTTTGCTGGTCATTTGGTGTTCAGGTCTTCCTATGGAAGCTATATGTATGTGTGCCGTGAGGCTTCCAATAAAATTGAGACTTTAAATTTTTTTATTCTTTCAAAATAAAAATAGCTACTCAGTTCATGAATTGGAAAGCTTGACCTATACAGTTTTAATATCATTGTTGTTATTGTTATCATCATCATCATCATCATCCTTTTGGCCAAACTCTGGAAACAAAGAGCCAGTTTTCATAGAACTAATCTCTAGTCTCCATATGGGAAAGTGGGCCCCAGGACAACTGAAAAAAATATAGTATCACATACATACCCAGGATACTATATCTTGGAATTACCTGGATTATTGTAATACTATATGAGAGGACAAAAAGTGGTTTATCAAACCTGAAAGAACTTCCATATTTGAGCAAACAAATAAACCTTTGAACATATTCACAAACATTATTTATTATATGATTGAAGATCAGCTTAATGGAAAAGTCATGCTGGAATGATCCATTCATTTGTAAACAAGATTAATTAAAGAAGTTATGCCAGAATGAATAGGAAGAGAACAGAAGTTATTCCAATGCAGACCAGTGATGCTGCATCAAAGGTGAGCATCTAATGGCTGGTAGGATATGATGTATGAAACCCAGTAATTAACAGTCAAACCTCTCAGATGAAGTTACTGTGGAAGAAAGTATCTGAAGATAAATCTCCTCAAACTAAAAGAAAATACTATAATTTATCTGAGTGTCATTCTTCCAAACAGGAAGTAAAACTAACAATTTCCAAATATGAATTAATTGGAAACTGCCGTCAAAGTGCAGCAGATTGTTCTGCCAAGTAGTGTAAGAATAGAAAAAGGGCTGGTTAATTCAGCTCTTGATCAAATTTTCTCTCTAGTATTATATAGTTCCTAATCTTGAATAGCCACCAGCTTTTCTTACATCTGCACCTAGGGACAAATAGTTATATTTTTATTCTTCTTGAATAGGAACAATTAAGCAGGAAATCTGGGCTATAAGTCTGATTTTTCCTTACAAGTTTAATGTGTAACTGAAAATCATGAAGTGATTTACACTGTGATGTCTCAATGGAAACTGGAGAATGATGGGGGGGGGGAATGGTTTTTATAAGTGTGACTGATATAGAGATAGGATTCCAGCAGAAATTAAACATAATGAACTGATTTGAGAAACAAAGACAAAGAAATTTTTCATGCCAGGGAAAATGTACTCTTATGGTCTAGTTCTCTAGTAGAAATTTTTTCATCTCAAGTACCAAGGGAGTAAGAACACTACATGGAGGAAACATTTGATGTAAATAATGCTATTTTCTCTTCCCTCAATCCTAAATACCAAAAATGTTTGGATATGATTTCAAATAACGTTGAGGTAAAGTTAGTGAAATTTGGAAAAATCTTGAAACAAGACAGTAACATTGAACAAATCATATTGTTTAAATGACTGTATCATGTAAAAGCACTTTTGCAGAAACTGTGCGCCAGGATGCCTTACTTGGATTTTGCCTCTTGCAACAGTGAAGGATCATCTGTAGCCAAATAGACTCGCTTTTTGTCAATATGCTTTTTCCGGGAAAGAAGTTGGAAACGTTCTTCAACATGTGCCATGTATTCTTCAATTGGATGAAAGGCTGCTTCGGTTCCCACTTTGTCTGTTCTACGGACGTGAATACTGGAAAATAAAAGGATACTTGACATTTCTCTTACACATCTCTTATTAATTCAGAACAAAGAATTTGCGGCAATTCAAGAGTAAAAGTAAGAGTAAGAGTCAGGAGGCCCTAAGCTTTAGAGAACTGTCAAAAATCTTTCCTTCTCTCAATCAGCAAGATGTTGAGTGACGACTCAATTTAGACTACTCTTTTTGACAGAATAAAATTCCATAGACTGTTCTGTGTATGGGTCTGCATGTATCTGCATTTTTTTTAAAAAAATATAACAGATATCTCATATTAAGAAAATGTAATTTTTTTATCACTTAGAATGGTAAAAGTTCATTCTAAAAGGCAGATGAAAACACAGAAATACAATTACACTTCATTACGTCAGTTTATATCAAACAAATGGGAATATTACAAAGTCAGAAAAATTTTAGTTAAGCAAACTTAAATGAGGAATGTAATTGAAATGTGTTAAGTTTCAAAAACTCTTTTCTCTCTCACTGCAATACCAGAACTAAAAACATGAGAAACCCAAATAAAATTGATTAGGTTAGGTTGTAAATAAATTAAATTTATTATTCATTTATTCATTTATTTATTATTCATATATATTAAATCATCAATTTGTGAAATTCATTGCTGCAAGGTAGATTAATTGCTATAGCTTATAGGACTATTTTGACTTATTTTTAAAAAAAACAAATATTTTTTTACATTTATTTATTTGATTTATGTGCAGTCCATCTCTTCTAGAGGTGACTTTATTTCAATTATGTTGAAAAATGACAGCTCTTTTTACAAGTAGAAGAGAAAATGTAACAGTCTAGGAATATATTTCACAGAAAATTTAGTAGAGTCAAGAAAATTAAAGAAATATTCAATCTAGGATTATAGGTGTATACGTATGAGCTGAAACATAAACCACTTCAAAATGTGCAATTAGATCTCTATGTGATTTATAAAAAATAATGCAATTTCCTTCATTTGATAATGATTAGATCCTAAACAATAGCCTGCCATTCTAAAAGAGTGGGCATCAAATAGAAATTTCAAAAATCCAATTCATAGTTCTTAAATGATTAAACTGGCTACATCCTAGGATCTGTCAACTAGCCTAAATACTGGTAAGTACGGTAGGTGCTTTTGATAACCAAGATCATGTGGTTCTGCTAGTTTATATACCATTTCTAAGAATACCATTTAAAAATGAAGATTAGACACTTGAATTTTGCTGAGAATTATTTCCTAAATAATTTGAAAGTCCAATGATTTATTGTCTATACTGTCAGAACTATAAAATATAACTTTCTTAACTTTTAAACAAAGTTTTTCTAAATGTATTGAAACCATCAATGATCATTAATTATAAAAGCGAAATGAAGCCTCCATTGTCAGAGGCATTGTATTTCTGAATTAAACATGTTGGGGTGAACAGGGCAGGATCTTCATTCTGTGTAGTGAGCTTGAAATTAAAAAAGTGGTTTAAGACTGCTTTCTTTATTCCCAAATAGCATTGATATGAAAAAGAAAATACTGAAATAAGGTGAGTTTGGGGAAAAATATGTTTTTCAGAAGTAAATCCTACTGATTTCAATGGGAATAAACATGAGTAAGTTTATGACAATCTTAATGAAATTAATGACTTAATAAAACACTTACCCAATAATTGGATGTTTAAAACCAAGTTTTCTTGTGGCTTCTTCTATCTCTTTTTCTAACAAAGGCTGTGGACGAATTAAGTATTTGACAAACTGTGAGACCCACCATACTGGAGGATCCCCATGGACACGAATTAATCTATCAGCCAGATCTTCTGGAATTGCCAGGGGCAAATATGGAGGCCGTGGATGTAGACTGTCAACTATAGGCAATTCTATAACTTGAACATTTTTGTCATTCATTTCACCTAGAAAAGACAGAATCAAATATTTCAGAAATAAGTGATTTTACAAATTTTATTAAAGATAGAGAAAATATATATTCTTTTTAAATAGAATTTGTAGCTTTCTGATTGAGACTGAGTATCCATTTCAATTATTGTCTTGCATGCAGCAACTGCACAAATTCAATAGTTACCAATAGACTGAACAGAAACTTTACATTAGGTATGTTCAACCCACAGTCCTGGAGAGCTAGTAATGTGCCCCAACAAGATAATGAAAATTATTTAAAAATAAAGGAATATTATATACATTAACTATATTATATATTTTATATGCGGCCAAGACAATTCCTTTTTAGTCAATATGGCCCAGGCAAGCCAAACGTTTGGACAACCAAGCTTTAGATTCATTTGCACAAAATATCATTGATAAAAATGAATTGCCATGGTTACTAATTCACCTCTGTCCACTACAGGTTGTCCCCAATTTACCACCGGTCATTTAATGATGGTTTGGAATTACAACAGCACTGAAAAAGTGACGTATAACTCATTCTTAAAGTTACAATAATTGCACCACCTTCATGGTCACATGATTATAATCTGGGTGCTTGACAATCAGTTCAGATTTATGACCAGTTGCAACACCCTATAGTCACCTGATTGAGATCTGCAACCTAGGCAGGCAGCTTATGACAAACGAAGTCAATGGGGGGAACCCAGATTCATTAATAACCATGTGATTTACTTAATGACCATGGTAAAAATAGTCATAAAATCAAGTCTGTTCACATAATGATTTGCTTAATGACTGCACTGCTTAGCAAACAAAATTCCAGTCCCAATTGTGATTGTAAATCAAGTACTACTTGCATATAAAGTATTAAAATGCATAAAATATCTATAGAAAATGTAACTAGGAAAAAACTAAAGCTTGTAACAACACAATTTGAATTATGTTCCTTAAATTCTAGTATTTCTTGGTAAAACTTTCATAACACATATATGCTGTTATTTTTACATCAAACGGAGCATCATTTATTCTAGCTTTTACTAAGTTTGGGTGCAATGTAATAAGCAAGCCTCATGGGGAGGGGGTTTTTTCAATTGTGATGTACTTGTGATTGCTTTTTCTCTTATGTTGAAAATAATAAAAAAAAAAAATTTTGAAAAAAAAAAAAAAAAAAAAAAAAAAAAAAAAAAAAAAAAAAAAAAAAAAAAAAAAAAAAAAAAAAAAAAAAAAAAAAAAAAGAAAGCCAGAGATTTGTAATTGAAATTATATTTAGAGATAATAGGGAGTCACAAGCCTTTCTTCAATTTATGTTTTACCCAAAGATTCCCAGCTACTAATTTTTCCCCAATAAATACTATTACTGTTATTGTTATTACTGCTGCTGTTGCTATTATTACATTTCCAGAATGGTATGTCTCTGTGTGAAATAAGAAACAAAAGAGAAAGGAATTGAGGAATAAAAATAGTAAAAAGCATTTTTCTCATTCTCATCCCAATTTCTCTACCTAAATATATAGGTATTATAAATGAATTTACTGACATACTCCCTTCCATTCCCTTTCTGTCTTTCTATCATATAGAATAGAATAGAATAGAATAGAATAGAATAGAATAGAATTGGAAGAGACCTTGGAGGTCTTCTAGTCTAGCCCCCCACTCAAGCAGGAGAACTTGTACCATCTCAGACAAGAAACTGTCTAGTCTCTTCTTAAAAATCTCCAGTGATGGAGTGCCCACGATTTCTTTAGGCAAGCTGTTCCACTGGTTAATTGTCCTCACTGTTAGGAACTTTCTCCTTAATTCCAGGTTGCTTCTCTCTTTGGTCAGTTTCCAACCATTGTTTCTTGTCCTGCCCTCTGGTGCTTTGGAGTATTTGAGTGGTGCCTCTTCTTTGTGGCACCACTCAAATACTGGAATACTTCTATCATGTCACCTCTATTTCTTCTTTTCTTTAGACTAGCCAAACCCAAGTCCTGCAGCCGTTCTTCATATGTTTTAGTCTCCAGGCCTTGGATCATCTTAGTTGCTCTTCTCTGAACTTTTTCCAAGGTATCAACATCTTTTTTGTAGTATGGTGACCAAAATTGGTTGCAGTATTTCAGGTGTGGTCTCACTAGAATTTTATAAAGCGGTACTAATACTTCGCATGATCCTTGATTCTATGCCTACTAATTTGGTCACTTTATCAAAGAATGAAATAAGATTGGTTTGGCATGATCTATTTTTAACAAACCCGTGTTGGCTACCAATTATAACTTTGTTTGCTTCTAGTTGTTCACAGATCTGTTTTTTGATTATCTTTTCCAGGATCTCCCAGGTATTGATATAAAATTTGCTAAGTGCAAAGTGAGAAAACCTGTAGTAGGATTTTACTAAATTATGATCAAACCCGAAAAGTTAAGATACCGATACAGTTAAATCTCCCTGCCTTCACAAAAGCATTGATAAAAGTGATTTGTCAATACATTTTTTCCACAATGTTTTGGTGTTTTGACTTGATAATCTAGTTTACAGCCCTGTGGTTTCCTGCTAGTCTCCAATTCAAGTATAATTCAGCTCTGCATCTGTTTAGCTTTTCAAGTTCAATCAGCGTCAGCTGGATATGCAACTGTTTGTGATCAGGCTTAGAAAATAACTAATAAAATCAATGAGGCTTAAATTAGACATGATTCACTTGATGTTAGTGCTATTTCAGCAGACTTAATCCTATATCCCTCTGAATATACTTGCTCTTATCTTAAAATAAAGCATCAGTTTAATATTGTAATTTTAATTAAGACATACATGGAAATTCAAAGCATTTCTCAATTCATAAATGCATTTTAAAAAAGGAGAAAATTCTCTGAACAGAACTGTCACAATGAGGAGAAATATAATTACAGCAATCTCACTTCTTCAATTCTACTTTGGATTATAATAGGAAGAAACTGTCCTAACCTGTAAACCATTATTTCTCCAATTTTTCTTGACAATCTGAACACATAATCTTTATCTAGAAGGTTCTATATTGTTGATGCTTGGAGGCTGCAATGGTCTATAACAGATAATAATCTCAAAAAATAATCTAATAATAATAATCTAGAAACAGATATTCTGAGAAACTGTATTCCCAAATCATTTTTGCCTCATTTCCTGAAAAGGAGGAAGTTAAGGAATGAAATAAATACTTTAAACCTTGCAAGAGTTTTTCAAACCCAAAGCCACAAATAACCCTTGAGCAGTATGCCAAAAGCTTCAGTCCAAAAGATAGGCAGGACACAGATATCAACTAAGTTTGATAGAGTCTAATATAAATTGTAAAAAAAACTTTGATTAAATAAATTTTAATATTATTTTCTTTGTATTTTCTTCTTCTGTCACATTATAAAGTACAAAGTTGAAGCAATGTCTGGAGGACCAAACCAAAGCTTTTAGCAGCCACAAGTAACTGCAGATCCTTACACTAATTGTCCATGGTATAGGATGTAATTGATGGACTGCAAGAAGGATCTGGTCCATACCTACTTTCTGTTAATTTGCAATTTTCACCAGTTAACTTCAATACTGCAAATAGATATCTCTTTCATTGCATCTTCCTTTGTTTCACCTTTCTCTTGAAAGAGACTGAACAGAGCAATGAAATAGTGGCTGTTATTGATTAATGCATTAAAGGTAAAGGTTAAGGTTTCCCCTTTCCAGTCGTGTCCAACTCTAGGGGGTAGTGTTCATCTCTGTAGCCAGCAAGACTATATGCTATGGTGCATAGAACGCTGTTACCTTCCCACCAAAGTGATACTTATTTATCTACTCTTATTTGCATGCTAGGCAGGTAGAAGCTAAGGCAAGTAATGGGAGCTCACCCCATCGCATAATGCTGGATCTTAAACATAAGCTGTCAGCTTTGTAGCTGACAAGCTCAGCATCTTTAACCGATGAGCCATTGTGCCCCTGTTAATATATTAATATTTTAATGTAATAGGCATGTCTTTAACCAGCAGAACAAAGCTTGTTGTCTCAATGTTAGGAAAGATAAAAAATGAGGAAGGATATGCGAGGCATCTATAAATAGATAGGAAACTTTTGCAAGGAAGAAGAGTAACAAATTCAATATAATTTGAAGGTAGTCTAAACTTATGTATAAAAGCCTTGCCAGGCTTTCCTAATCCGATGGGAAATTTTCTAAATACATCTCACATTGCCTACTTTTCCCCTTTCACTTTTCAGGAGAGATAATAGAGGACAGAGGTATAGAAAGGAAACAGAAAGAAGAAAATTTTGAAAATGGGGATCACAGTGGCTGGCAGGTAACACAGATAGAAAACATCACCCGATGAACTAATTCTACTCTAATATAACATTACATTAACAGTATCTTGCAAGTTTGAAAGTAAATTCCCTTCCATTCTCTTTACAGCCCCAGAAATTAAGGAAGGTCCCTACAGAGCTACTTGTCCCACCTACATTCTTGCTGTGGGCTAAGTTGCCTTTTATCTGTCTCCCAAGGTCATTCCCATATACCATTACAGAATCTCAGTAACACCCAAAATATGCATGCATTATAACTTTATTTTAAAATGCCGAATTGCTTCAATAGATAATTATTTCAAGTTATGGTTTAAATTCTTCTTACATTAGATTAGGTTACATTAGATTATAATTAATATCCAAAGAAGTTTCTCTTATTTGGGAAGTATTTTAAAATCAATATAACTTGCTTCCTGAACCATAATATATACTCATAGGTTGTCACAAACTAAGAGTGATATATCTGCACAATTATAATATTGGTAGATATTTTTTCAGTTAATCTGAACTAATACAGAATAATAGAGCTGGACGGGTCCTTGGAGGTCTTCTAGATCAAAGTACCCCAACCTTCCCAGATTGGTGGCCCGGCACGGGGGGGGAGGGGAGAAGAGGGGATGGTTTTGTGCAAGGGGCGGAACAGGCTTAAAAAAAGAAATGGTGATGCATAGTAGTAATAGTACATAGCGTAGTATATTGGTAATTGTAATAGAGTAATGCTGTAGTA